GTCGAACGCTTGGAACATACAAGGAAGATGAGAAAGCTTCTCCCGCAATCACCGGCCCCATACTCTATTCATAAACATTGTAATACTTGCATTAGTAAAGAAGAAACACACTCACTTTGTCGCTCTTCAGAATTTCTTCTGGAATCGAGAACGAAGTGCCAACACGCTTCTTCAGCTTCGGCATCTCTTCACCTGGCCTCAAAGTTGCGCTGATTTCCTGAGGCATCTCTCCCGTCAACTCCTACAAAGATGGCAAATAGTTCCACGAAAAAAAAACTATCATACTTCCCACGGCCCTTCTGGCAGTGAGCACGATAACTTGAGTATCACCAGGGATGCATGGGTGCTAGAGGAACATCAAACCAGGCGGCAAAAGAAATAGAGTAGAGTCATTAAGGCATAAAAAAGCGGTAATGACAACGGTTTGAGAGCCCAAGCGTATAAGAAGCCCATTTCATGGGATTGTTGACCCGGTAAGTATTCCAGATTTTCAATGCGGATGTGTGCTGCATTTAAAACAACTGTGATCTGGTATCTTGACAAGTCCTATCTTCTTTCGGATCACCCTCTTCAAAATGGCCACTATGCTAGCCGTAAACTCGTCCAAAATCAACGGACATGATGAGAGTCTCGATTCTCGATTTCGAGTTTTTCTTATTTGCTTCCTCACTACGCACCATGCAAAGGCCCAACTCAGGCGGAAGTCGTGTTAACGATTCTCTTCGGTCTGTAAGATAGACCCTAGAGGACAATCACAGATGTGCACGGAAATCAACCGACAAGAGCGCTAGGGCCTTGCAAAGTAAGCTGCTGCAGCTGCAATTTTTTTCTTTATCAGGCTGTTGTCTGGCGCCCTCTCATCTGTTGCGCTCTCTCGCCTCATACTCTCCTCTTCGCGCTTAGTCTCTCATTCCTTTAGCACAGCCGATTAGGAAGGTGAGTGAGCCCTCAACCTGAGCGTTTTCGACGGATTCTTTTCCTTTTTTCTTTACTGCCGGCCCACTTGGCACCGATACATTCGCATTCGTGTGCAAGAACCACACACTTACTTCCCACCAAATACATGCCCATCGTGCGGCAAAAACCACACCTTACTTCCTGGGCAATGCTTGGACACCTCTACTCATATCTGATTCACATAAAATTAAGTTACCGCACTGGCTTTACGAGACATATTTCGTGCAAAATCCGACCTTGCATGCGCACATTAATGGAACGATTTCAGTAGGAAAGCAAGCTCCAGCGCAGCAGTGATGAAGGGAAAAGCAGCTTCAAATCCTCTCTTTTACGAATGTCGGCGCTCAGCTTAGGGGAGCGAGGGGAAATCCCAATAAGCTACGCCAATACTGCGTGAGCCAACTGGAGGGAAGGATCTGGAGCATGGAACGGTCGCGGGGCTTGTCTCCCTGGCGTTTCTCCCCTTTACTGAGCCGAGTCCTAGTCTCACCTACCATCGGCCCCATTGAATGTCCCTTCCCCAAAGACATGAGCCGAATGTTCGAATCATCTGTGTGGAATGACCCACACCCAGTGATGAAAACACAAATTTATCGCTCAACTTGTAAGACCACCCTTATCAAGAGCCCCACCCATCTTCTCGTTAGATCAGGGTAACGGAAAAGTGAACTAGTGCTTATCTCACAACCCACACAAAAGCTGTAAATCAAAATGTCGCTTGACTTTCTTTGTCTGCTGCAGAAAAACATGCCCAGTCACATCATAAGTTCTGGGTATGCTGCCGCAGAACCCTTATTGATCATTTACAAAGTTAATCCTAGAGCATTTCGAAAAGCATATTCACTAGGTCTTACACCGCACACAGACTTGGAAAGCAAAAAAAGGAAGATAACAAAGTTATCTATGACTAGTGCTCCTAAACCAATCAGTGACTCACCCCTTCCTTCATGCAGACCGAGCGTAACTCATTGATGCGTGCTTTCAACAGCTCCTCGAGTTCGGCTTTCTTGCCACGAAGAATTTTATACAACTCGATATCTCGTTGACGGTCTTCGCTGTCTTCTCTGCAACTAAACGACATGTGATAGTAAAAAGCCCTTCGCTGACAACATGCACAAGTCAGAAAAACAAAAGCTGTCAATAAAAGCTTACGCTTCAATCCATTTTTCAGTGACGGACGATGTGAGTACGAACCATCAGCGACTTTTGCCGACGGCATCGTATTCAGCTGACTATGACGAAGCCACGAACTGAACGCGAACCAAATTCAATAAGCCACAACTTGTACGAACAACGAAACAACTCCCAGATCTGATCGCAGTACGAAATGAAACACCACCAAAACAGACCTTAGTGATGGTAAACTTGAGCCGATCGAGCTTCTACTTATTAGTCGATTCAGTTTTTCTCCTAACTCGCGATGATCAACAGCAGATCCTTGCGTACGTCCACTCTGAAATGAAAAATTCAGTACAGGGTTTTATCGGCGGGCGATGAATTCGAGATAGCCGATTAAGAGTTTTGTGAAGAGAGGTGTACCAACCAATTTTGAAGAAATAATATGATTCTTCCAAAGACTCAAACAATTCACACTGCAATGAATCTACCTTACTAACATTTTCGTGTCCACCTTTTCGTCAAATCTGCGAAATTAATCCAGTCAAGTCATAAAAAACGCCATTCATTCAGTTCTGGCCAACAGATTAGGGTGTGCTAGGGCATCGTATTCAGATTAAGGTAGCATCAAGTGGTTCAGCCGACAATGACTTTCGGAGGCAAGTGGACCTACGAGTAGATACCGGACTTCAGACACAGAAGACCTTAGGCCGCGTTCATAGTTCGCGACTCGGGAGATTAGGATAGTAGGCGACAGGATATTAGGATAGTAGTAGAGTAGGAGATTGCGCTGACAAGATTGGATACGTATCGATTGAAATCGCTGGAGAGTAGTAGATTGGGCGACTTCAAGCGAATAGATCAATACATATCTAATCTTGTCAGCGCACTATCCTAATCTACTACTATCCTAATCTCCTCTACTACTATCCTACTATCGTAATATCGCAATCTACTACTCTCCGGCGATTTCAATCGATACGTATCTAATCTTGTCAGCGCAATCTCCTACTCTACTACTATCCTAATCTCCCGTCAATACATATGTTTTTCATTGTCGCGTACTATCCTAATCTCCGGAGTCGCGAACTATGAACGCGGCCTTAGTGTACCCGGTGGGATTCAATTCGAGATTTCATCCCACACCATGCGCTGACAGGTGCCGTCAATCAACCATGCCGACCCTTGGTGCCTGAGGGTTATAGTTTTGCCATCTAGCACGCTGATTAATTAGCTTTCCGAATTAAATCATGACATACTACCGCACCTTATATTGCAACAGCTCATCACCTTATGCGAAATATTGGGAAAAAAAACCAACAAATAAAACAAATGGTTCATTACTGGAGTGAGGCACACAATCAAATTCAGGGAAGATATCAAAAGCGAAAAAGACGAAAGGGCTGCAGTGGCTGCATCGCACTTATGCAAATGAGTGATGCCCAAGATAGGAAAATCCCTCTGTGCGACGAAAAAATGGAAGACGGGAAAATAGACACTATCCACCCTAACTTGCACTGTAGGTGAATTTGCTTGCAAACTGGAGGCATGGCGCATTCCAGTGAAGCGGTCAGTCTGAACAATCTCTCCTATTTGCTGCTGGGCAGCTAAATTGAGCAATGAGAGGTTCCAAGGCTTAGAGGCAAGGGCTAATATACAGGTTGGACAATTTTGTAGAACTTCTATAGTGAAAATATACGCTACAGAATCCATCACCAGTAGTCCAAAATTTGTACTACCAGAATGCATAATGAGATTACATTATAAAGCAAAGCCTAGCGCGCCTCAATCCGCCACAGCAACAACCACAGTGAAAGGAAACAAAATCCAAGGTGAAAAAAGATAAGCGAGGCTAGTCTATCTATTCACGGTATTACAAGGCAGGTGCGACCAGACACGGCTGATTATCATTAGGTCTACACGCTCACATCCAATCACCTAACGCTGTTTGCGTCTAATCGGAAAAGTGAATTGCCTCGCTCGTGGGCGCTCTCCCATCACGTGACCCTCCAGCACGGGCTTGGATTTGCGGAAGAAGCCCTGTACATGTGGTTCACGGACAACACTCATTACGGGAACGCGACAGCACCCGTGATGATTGACTCATACTATTCTGCAGTCATTTCGATTAGCACGAGGTCAATGAGGTTGACGTTGAGAGAAGACATGAGTAGAGGAGCCCGCCAGTGACAAAGTGCACTAAGTGCATGAAAAAAATCAAAAACCTCTCATCAATTCAAATCACGCACCATGTTCAACGGGAATGCAACGGGCCGAATGATTATCTACGACAGTTTGTTCAGGGATAATTTTGTACATTGTAGCTACTATATGGCAAAAGTCTGTAATCTTAGCAATCCTATTCAGTGACGGCTCTAGATTGGAGGGACCGACCGTTTCCGAGGGTCAACTTTTCGCATTAAACCTTTTTCCAATCAAACTTAGAGGTGTGAAGACGCGGAACTAATGTGCAGTTATTCGGACTCCTGATAATCAAGGATCTGGGAAATTTAGAGGTATAATGACTATATATAGCGAATTTTATGAAGAGAGAAAATCAGGCGCGTGTCATGTCAGGAATTATTGTCACCGCAACTGTAGAAGATAGATGAATCTTCAAGGCTGTGTGACAAAAAGGTCATGCACAAGCCGTGGCCGACTAATTTTTGATAATAGTGCATTAGACTTGCATTCAGCGCTACCACAAGAATACGAGAGAATTTCACGATTTTGGTTTGACGAATCGGTCTGATATTCAGGACATCGGTCGTAAAGTTTACCATGGCGCAGTCCAACAATGATTTAAAAAATTTGATTCAATTTTTAAGTGCTTAGGGAAGGATTAAACCACACCTTTGCTTGTATCATTTTTTGAGAGAAGGGTATCGAAATTTAGTGATAACAACGGATTGATAAACAGACATTTGGCTACCTGAACTTCAGATGGAAAGCAAAAAGAAGGATACCGTACCACACCCGAGATTTGAACTTTATTAATCCCTAAGCGATTTGCCGAGTTTTTGCAAGCTTGCTTTGTTTTATGCATTTCTCATCCCTTCGCTTCTACTAGGGAAAAAGCATAGCCCATTCGGAGAAAAAGCTCTACAAGTAACGACCATATCTACACAGAGCGACATGAGCGCTTTAGGGAGACAGCCTATGGCGACAACTTTCATTCGCGCGGATTCCTCCGCCGGCGTTCACGCTTGCGCCTACGCTTGCCAGGAATCCAATGACAATTATTTTCTTACCTAATTGTTTTGGGGATCTTTCGGGGTATAGAATTATTTTTTTGGGATTCCGGTTCCAAATCAATCTAAAGGCGAGGGTGCTTCGTAAAGGGCGCCCATTTCCCCTTCTTTTGAGAGGTTCATACCAGTTTCGGAGTCCGAAGTGGTCGCCACTCAAAGGCACGCCAATTCACCAGCAACTTTGGATGTGGCGCATAAATCTACCAACTATGCATCGTAGAACGACGGAGTAATAACAAAAACCTAATTGCGTGATCACACATGCGCGCTCGTTTTTCGTAAACCATCTGAACAAGTCCTCGCTTTCCCTTTCGGTTTTCTCCGATGTTATTCGGTTCCTTTGAATTCGCCGGCACCTTGGAAACATTTTTGCTTCTGCGTCCCATAAATGATGGAAATAATGAAGCAAACGGTGTTGGCCGATTTCTAATTGGGATGCGCCATACATTCTCCTCCCCTTAAAGATCGTGGAGACATTTTGACCACGACTTGCACAACACAATGACTTGCCGGGCACAGCGGTTTTTTTCTCCCAAAAAGCACCACTCGCAGACCCTGGAGGGATCAAAAATTTTGCTAGCCTGGCCTTTGAACGACCCAGGATTTGATCGCTCGACCGTGTGTGCGGTAAGGGATGGCACTTGCCATTACGAAAATTTCGCCCTTTGCGTGCTATCATTGATACACCCCTCTAGAACTGCTGAGAGCTGTTTAGGCGAAACTCAAAGCAACAGTACCGGCTTTTCTACTTCGACACTAATGGCGTGGAACGATGCGCTAGCCTTAGCCAAGAGCATAACAGTGTGAATGAACAAAAAAAACTCATCTAGGAAAGCCGCTGGAAAGGGAGTTGAACGGCTTCGAAGTGGGCTTTGGTGGCGAAGTCAGCAGAGGAAGCCCATCTCGAAGCCGCCCAGCTCCCCAGCGGTCTTCCAAGGTGAGTTTTTAGTTCAGTCACACTTCTTATGTTCTTGACTACGGCTAGCGCCTCGTTCCACATCATTAGTGTTGAAGGTAAAAACTCTGCTGGGACTGTTGCTTCGATGAAAATCAGTCTGCGTGCATGGTTCAACAAATCCGCATCAAGAAGAGCGTACGTAAGAAGACACAGGATTACAATTTTCTCACTGTGTGCGGACGTACTACGCTGGTAGTTTTATGGACAGAAATTTTGCTCGTCATAACCCGTGCAGGGATTGTTATTTGGCTCCGCTGCAAAAAAGTGCACCTACGATGAAAGCACCTGTCCTAACACTGCGCCACATACCACTGCAATGCAAGGTTACGATACTAAATCAAAAAGGAGAAATCGTAGGAATGATTATGGCGGACTAGTGCGGCTGCGGGGCGAAAAATCGGAGCATATCAGATTGATAGGGATTGCAGCAAGGTCAAATGGTGCGCTTATCATGAGCGTTATCCGGCTAGCTGAACCGAACGATCTGCCTAGTTACAATGTCTTCCGTGCTCTCGGAGTTGGTGATTGTTACCAGGTTTTTATCACAATAAGAAGAACTATGAACATCTACTTTCGTTCCACTCCAAGATCGCCGTAGGGGCTCAATACACAGTTAGGTAAGGCTAGTATTTTGAATAGAAGAAGCATTTAAAAGAATGGATTAGACTCAACAGCTTTATCCATTCAGAGATATGATAGAATCTTGCCACCTCAGGTTGTCAAAATCTCACCAATAGAGACCTCAGAGGAACCAGAGAGTCAAAATAAGTAAATAAATTAATAAAAATCCTAAGAACTTCAAAGTACGCAAAAACAAAAAAAAGTAGAGAAATAAAAAGTCCAAGAACTCAAAGTACTCAGTCAGCCTTGATCGCTTATTATCACTAAATACTCAGTCATCCAGGGATAGGGTAATCTCCGGTTAATCTATCAGGAGAAAAATAATGAGATTCCTCACAACTAAGATCCCTAGATGACAACCCCTTCTTAGCAACTATGGTCGACAGTCATACTGTACCATCCATTATTCAAACAGACAGCGTTCGGGTAGCTTATAAAAATGATGTGTGAAAAAAGTGAGTAACAGCCGCGATCACGTTTGGAAGGGTGTGAAATGCGAATACGAGAGAAGACGGAGCGGTGGCATAGATGTGGCGAGATGAGCGCCGCGGACAAAGATGGCTATCACATTTCTCGCTAATCTCAAAGGCTCCCGCGCCTTGTCACTTCCTTCTATTCGCTGTCTGCAGCTCTTCTTATCTACCACTGTCTGGACGGATAAGACAGCTTAAC